AAGCAGGACTCCTGGAATTGTCTGTCTGGAGTTGCGCAAAGAAAGTTTTCATGGACGTTCGTTTTTGTGTTCATTTTGCTAGCTTGGGGGGTTTCAATTCAGTGCTAATGTATTGTGTTACCGACCGGAGACGACCTTTTAAGAAGGTCGCAGGTGTAGGTTAGACATGTCACCGAGGAAAGCATCTTGACATGCCTCAAGTGTGTCATAGACAGATACGGCGGAGAGAATCCGGTAAATTTTCAAAATAAAACTGTCGTTCAGCAAATACCTTTAAAAGAGAAAAAGCAGCTTTTCATGGAATATTGGTCTCCACGCTCAAATGACTGATGATGGTAACTACTGATGCATTTTAAGGAGCTACGTTGAATTTTTATACTACACTTCAAAACTTGTAACATGAATTATGTTGTACTTTAAGAGAATATAACACGCTTATATATTTTTTGTTGCATATAAAATATATAATGTGAATCCTGTAAACTCGAATCTCCCATATCGTACAAGATGCAAAGTCCCTTATGCAGGAGGAATAATAATAATAAAAAAAAAGAAAATCCTGAAAGGCTGCAAAAAATCAAAATATAAATTTTCAACCAAATGATTCTTTTTTTTTTAAAGAGAATTATTGTAAAGTTGATTTTGTTCCAACATTTTTTGGTGTTACAGGTATGAAATTGGTTGTGTTAAACAAACAAGGGGCCAAAATAATTTTTTTTAACATTTTATTCAGAAAGTCAAAAAAGGAAAACAAAAGAGAATTATTTTTATAAATTAAATCCCTTCACGGTGAGGGGGGAGATTAGAGTAATCTCATGTTTTGACTTATCACGTCAAAACGTACCCAGATATAAATGTGAAAAATATCAAATCTTACCCGCAAACTCTCAGCTCCCCTTTTTATTTTTAAATAATAACAAATTCCAAGAAAACATAAATAATGTAGTGAATCTTTGAACCTGTAGCAGCAGGTGATGCTAGGTTGTTCAGCCAGCTTAATAAGGAAGCATACCAAAAGGGAAAGGGAGCTAGGTTGAGGCAGGAAGTGGAGATTTGTGAACAACAGTATGGTTTCATGCCTAGGAAGAGTACCACAGATGCAATATTTGCCTTGAGGATGTTGATGGAGAAGTACAGAGAAGGTCAGAAGGAGCTACATTGTGTATTTGTAGATCTAGAAAAGGCATATGACAAAGTGCCAAGGGAGGAATTGTGGTTTTGTATGAGGAAGTCAGGAGTGGCAGAGAAGTATGTTAGTTTGGTGCAGGACATGTATGAGAATAGTACAACAGTAGTGAGGTGTGCTGTTGGGAGGACAGAAGACTTCAAAGTGGAGGTGGGACTACATCAAGGATCGGCCCTGAGCCCCTTCTTGTTTGCTGTGGTGATGGACAGATTGACAGATGAGGTCAGACAGGAGTCCCCATGGACTATGATGTTTGCAGATGACATTGTGATCTGTAGTGAGAGTAGGCAGCAGCTAGAAGAGAACCTAGAGAGGTGGAGGTTTGCACTAGAAAGAAGAGGAATGAAGGTCAGTCGCAGCAAGACAGAGTACATGTGTGTAAACGAAAGGCAGAACAGTGAAATAGTGAGGCTACAAGGAGCAGAGGTGGTGAAGGTGCAGGAGTTTAGGTACTTAGGATCAACTGTTCAGAGCAGCGGAGACTGTGGAAGAGAGGTGAAGAATAGAGTACAGGCAGGATGGAACAGCTGGAGAAAAGTGTCAGGAGTGATCTGTGACAGAAGAGTGTCAGCTAAGGTGAAGGGAAAGGTTTACAGGACAGTGGTGAGACCAGCCATGATGTATGGTTTAGAGACAGTAGCAATAGGCAGAAGACAGGAGGAGGAGCTGGAGGTGGCAGAGTTAAAGATGCTAAGATTCTCTTTAGGAGTGACAAGAATGGACAGGGTCAGGAATGAGGTCATTAGAGGGACAACACAGACAGGAAGGTTTGGAGAAAAAGCTAGAGAAGCCAGATTGAGATGGTTTGGACATGTGCAGAGGAGGGACAGTGGATACATTGGTAGAAGAATGTTAGAGATGGAGCTACCAGGTAGGAGACAAAGAGGAGATATATGGATGTAGGGAGGGAGGACATGCAGATAGTTGGAGTCAGAGTAGAAGATACAGAGACCAGGGAGAGATGGAAAACAATGATCTGCTGTGGCACCCCCTAAAAAAAAAAAAAAGGGACAAAGCCGAAAGAAAAAGAAGAAGACCAAAAGGGAAAGGGAAATCCCACAGCACATAACCAGACAAAAATGTCACAAAAAGCACATGGAATGAAAAACAGTAATCTTCCAGATTACATTCACTCACACTGAACTTACTCAATATTAAACTGGTGGCTGTTTAGTTAAACACAATCCACATATACAGGAATTGATATGCAGGAATTGATGAAAGAGACACACAACGAGCTGACTCTTTTATATATTTTTTTTATTACCATCTGCTGCCACCTTGTGGAAATGTGCTTAATCGTGCTGCCTGTGGCTTGCATTGACGAACAATGGAATAATAATTTAATGACTTATTGCATGGAAACAACATATATTGCACTTAACAGGTCAGGTACTTTCATATATTTACTGAGACGGTTGACATGAGGTAATTTACTGTGACATGTAGTGAAACTTGTAAAACTTTTGAATTACTTCAATTTGATCGATCGACGATTGATAAATAGATAGATAAATAACTGTGACTGGCCCAAACCCTTACCTAACGGTTCACCTGATTCAAACAGGATAGTGGTGTAGTGGTAGTGCTATGCTAACATCACTAGAGGGCAGTGTAGGTGCACGTAAAGAGTGGATGAGTGACTCCAGGTCTCAAGCCACACGCTCACAGACGCCCCCGATGATAATAATAATAATAATAATAATAATAATAATAATAATAATAATAATAATTTGTGACTCAATTGGATTTAGATCACACTCTGTATTAACGTACGCATGTATACACTGTAAACTTATGTATAGTTATTATTATTATATTATTTATTGTATTTAAAAAAGATTACCAAAAATTAAAAAAAAACAAGGCGTAGCTTTTGCTATATATATATATTTTACAAAAAGCTCTCTTTAAACACAGTTCATCCAGCTTAACATGGTTGTACTGATGATCTGCATGATGGTGACCTTCACACCTTCCAGACAACAGCGGTATAGACAAGATGTCCTCGTGCTGAACGGAGAAGGTTATCTTTTTTCAACTTTCTATTTTAGATTAAAAATGCAATATTTCCCCCTGCAGACCCTGGTGGATAATAAAAACTGTAAGATTGACAGTTCCTTCATTCAAAACATTTTCATTGTAGCAAAAAAAAAAAAAAAAAAAGTACTTGTACCATTATCTTATAAATGATTATTCCAGTGATTTCATATTTTTGCATTGCATTTAAATAATATAATATAATATAATATAATATAATATAATATAATATAATATAATATAATATAATATAATATAATATAATATAATATAATATAATATAATATAATATAATATAATATAATATAATATAATATAATATAATATAATATAATATTTTTATATCAAACATTTCGTTGAGATTAACATTCTGTTATCTGTATTTATCGGAAGACTTGTGTATATACAATACAATGATATATGAGTCACATTGTTGTGTGTTGTAATGTATATGACCTCCCTTCACACACACACGCCTGAAACTGGGTAGTGGTTTAAAGAGGCTGATTGATTACGTAAAAATCTTAGTTTGTTTGTTCCAATAGATTTCAATCCTGTGTGTTAGTTTTCACAATTCTTCATTGAGTTCATTCTCAACCATATATTGTACACTGGATAGTGTACTGCTGCTTATAATAAAAAAAAGCTCCTTAAATGACAAGACATATGAAAATGTTTGTTGTTGCTGATATTGATCAGTTGATTGACTCGTATTCAACATTTACAAACATATGTATGTTTACAATGTATAAGCCATATACTTAAGAAAATGCTTGTCACACCATAAAGTGCAGTTGTGTTTGTTACCAAATCAATGTCAGCGATAATGTGGGTTCAGTGTTGTTTACAATGTGTGCAATGAAATGGAAAACACACTAACTATCTCTGTACACAGACTGATAAAGAATGAGATTGACCGAGACTAAA